CTCGAACTCACAGAGATCCACCTGCCTCTGCCTCCTGAGTGCTGGGATTAAAGGCGTGCGCCACCAATGCCTGGTGACCTTTTATTTCTTGAAGAGGCCAATTTGGATGCCAAGATCTGATGCAATTATTGTTACATCAACACCTGTGTCTACTAGAACTTCAATGATATTTTTTTTTATTTCAATCATTTATGTCGAGTAGGTTTTTAGGAAAAATTTTAATAATTGTAATTAGACCAATTTAAAATTGGAAACAAGCTTCTTTTACACATCAATCCCAGTCCTCCCATTCCCCGTCCCATGTCCTCCCGCCCCTCAACCACTTTCTGCTCCACATCAATCAATGACATTTTTAAATTTTGGTCTTGTTCGTGTATAGAAGTTTGCCAAAATACTTGCTTTATGTTTTCTCCTGAATTTTTGTTCTTTCTTCTATAGCTTTGCTATCATCCAGAGCAATAGGCGTTCTTACAATAGGCATTAGGTTCTGTAATTGATCTGGGAGGGATTTTCCTCCTCAATGATAGGAAAGAACTGAACGGAATTTGACATGGGGGTCTGCCTCTGCCTTCCGAGTGCTGGCGCCCCCCCCCCCACTGTCCCGCATGTTTCCAACTTTTTAATGTGGGAAACAGCTCTCTTTTAACTAATTCCTCCCTTTAAGGATTTCAGTTGTCCTGCTAAATCTGCCAATGATGATGATTCAGATGATGGTGAAGTGTGGTAGCAGCCCAAGGAGGGGTCCAGGGAAATCCCACAACCCACTGGGAGAAAAGAAGCCAAAGAGCCAGTTGTCTTCCTTGGGGGAATCTAAGAACTCGGTTAACTCCTGTGGCTAATGGAGACTAAAAGCCTATGGAGTTTTCTGCAGATAGATAAATAGGCTGCAACAGAAAAATCCCAACTGGCTCAGAGGCTTAAGGAAGAGAAAGGAAAAACTTAGCTGGTGGGGTAGTGACGGGGCCTCGTGCAGCTTCCGCCTGTGCCTGTAGCTGCACAGCCACAGGCAAGCGGCTTTTTGTGAATTTGTGTTCCGAAAGATGGGTGCCAGATATAGGCGAATTGTATCTGCCTCCTGAGTGCCAGCATTATAAGCCATCATAGCTAACATGAGTGTGTGTGTGTGTGTGTGTGTGTGTGTGTGTGTGTGTGTGTGTGTGTGTGTGTGTGTTTTTTCCTATTTTTTCT